GTTTCTTCTATATATATATATATATATAGCCATAGTTGGGCCATATCACGTATGTGATGCGACGGCTCAGCGTCAGGACATCCCCACAACCATCATCCTGACGCGAATCATGTTTGGTGGTGAGAGAAACCGTCATCCACTGCCGAAGGCATGCCATATTGCGTTAGGGACACAACAGCGCAACATCAGGCTTGCCACCCTACCATCATCTAGGGAGCGTCATGTTAGGGAGGGAAGCAGGACTTCATCTGGCTGCCATGGTTGGGCCATATCATGTCTGAAACGTGACGACGCAGCGTTGAGACATCCCAACCACCATCACCCAGATGCAAATCATGTCCGGTGGCGAGATGACCGTCATCCACTGCCAAATATAATGCCATATCCTCCTCCGTTTCTTATTTCTATTTTAATGTATCAGATTCGTCAGTCGCTACTAGTTTCAGATAATTGAAAATAGGAAAGAGGACGCGATTAGCATGCGGCCAGCTTGCATATTGTAGAAATATGTGCTTGACAATAAATATATTTTTTAAATATAATTTTATCTTAATTTTTGGAGAATATATAATCTTTAACATGGAGATCATCAATGTGATTTTTTTTTTGTTTTGAAAATTAGAAATAATAATTATATTAATAAAACATTGGACTGTAAGTTACAATTGTTTTTAGATGGACCACCCATTTGGATCCATCTTTAAGATGGATGCATTCTACCTCTTCACCTCATATTGTAGAAACACGGTCCAACCCACAGGAAACAATTGTTTTAGGAAGAATTACAAAACCCCCCATTGTCTCAACTTTCTTTACATCTCCCCTCACCCATTTTATGGTCACAACTTTTACCGTAAAACTAATTTTTATATCAAATACTTCATATAAGTCAAAAAATCATGGTTCGGAGGGCGAAAATACCCTTACCTGTACATGAAAGCGTCACATTCTTGTAGACGCTCAATCACCAAAGACAGTCCGGCACATATTATAGCTAGACCGGAACCCATACCACATTGATTGCGGGACAGCAGCAACAATTTGTCCGACCGCATGCAACTTAGAAAACTTGATATTTATAGGGACCTCTTGGGGACCAAATTTGGCATTTCTGTTATTAGCAGGGCTAAAGTGTGTTGAAAGAAATAGAGAATAAACAAATGCAATTAGGAGCCACTATAGGTGCCCATACCGCCGTTTTCGCTTCCCCCACGTGCATTACGTACCGTTTCATCTAAGCCGTTGGATTGTTGGGGGAAGAAGGTTGATAAACAGAGAAATGAGAAGGGCCGTGCGATCATAATCTTGGAGATTTGGGCAGCAGCGATACTCTGCGGCCACTTCATCTCTCGCTCTTGTTTTAATTTTGATTTGTTTGTTTAAGGGTAGAAGTGTACATAAGGCTGTAAACTTACACCATTGAAATTAGAGGCACCTCACAAAGTCCCTCAGTCAAAAGTTCCTCCTAAGAAGAGAGTGGTGCGATAATTGAGAGCCCTCCAATTGATCATATCGATCTCAAGATGAATGGATCGGTGTAAGAAAAATTGAACTAGAGATGGTGTCGGAAGTGATTACTCAGCACTAATCGGTAAACTGGCTAGTTCAACCGAATTAACCGAGCAAGTCTTAGGTGGTTGAAAAGTATAAATAAAATAAAATAAAAATAAAATATGAAAAATATATTTAAAGCATGATTAAAAAACAATGCATCCAAATGAAGTTGAAAATTAATGAAAAAATGGATTTTAAAAAATCGATTGTGTCCAGGTGTATTTTTTATTTTTTTTACAAAAAATGAGAAAATATAAAAATAAGTATTAATAGCCAATTTATTTTACAATCTTTGCCAAAATGATGAAAAAAATTAAAAAAATGCATTAAAAACAAAATCCTTTTTTTTTTTTTGGGGATTTTATATAATTTGTTTTGATTTTTTTTTTAAAAAAATATCCAGTTGATTCACCAAAATTGTCTAAAACCGGAACCGCCCAGTGGCCATTTCTGATCTAACTGGGCGGTTAGAATTTGAACCCCCCATTTTTTCTATACTGGTGTGGATACAAAGAAAGAAAGAATTTCCAAGCGTGAAAATAATGCATCTTGTAATAAGTTATCCGAACCATCTATTTTCAATATTTTCAAGGATTTATAGATCTTTAACATATTTTAAATTTTAAATTTTGTAATTAAGGATAAAAGTAGA